CCTCTGAGACTATAATAAGTTTTGGAGGTATCCATGTAAGCTTACTGATGATGTGCAATTTTAGTAATAGAGTTCAGGGGGCTCACTCTGATGCCATTCTACCCTATTATCTTCATCAATGTCTTCTCTCTCATGTATGTCATTCCTCAGTTACAGATAAAGCAAATGCTGAATTGAGTAATTGATTTGTTTAATCTAGTAGGTTAAATTTCTCCCCAGTGGCCCCTGGTTTCTGGGGGGCAGTATGAGTAGTGGTTGAGACCATTGCATGAAGCCAGATGGGGTCTTTGACCCCAGATTTTTCTACTAGCTGACAGCTAACTAAACTGATCATTTATCAAGGAGAATTGGTCTATGTGTATTGGTGTTTTTTCCTGTTGCATATTAATATGGCTTCTCCCCTACTAGACAAAAGGTAATCACAGTGTATAATTGAAATCAACGATTTCAATTAAAGCAAATAAAGCTGAGACAATTTTTATAGAAGCCAGGGATTTTGATTGGTAAATAATAATAATAATAATAATAAGCAAATTAACCTATGATGAGTCAATTCTATACTTATACAACCCAGAAACACAATAGCAGGAAAACCACTAAACAACATGGAAAATGCTCACAATACCCTCTTGTACCATAGAGATTCAGCCTAGACTGGGCCCTATGCTGGGTAAATAGCTTGCTAATTTATTTTAGCATTTCCACACAGTTAAGAGATATTTTGAGATGGTGGGCTCTTTCTATTTTTCTCAGTTTGTACAGCTCTGCTTCAGCCTTTCACATGTTTTGATATGCCAGTGGTGTAGTGCAGTTCAATTCAATTCTGTGAAAATATATCTAGGAGCTACTATTTCAAAAACATAGCATCAGAAAATGGCTATGTCTATAAAGGTACATTCAGCTGATTGATATGACTGAAAATTAGGGTGCATGTGAGAGTCATGGTAGACTTGACTAGGGACAGTAGGGGACAGTAAATGGAAAGCAATTGTGTCATGTTAAGGAGTCTAGATTTTTGTTCTGTTATTAATGGGAAGCCAATGAAGTATGTTAAGCAGAGAAATGGCTTGATCAGATTTGTAGTTTTCGAAAGGCTGCCCTGAAAGAGCTTTAACTCCAATAGAGGAGCTACCACATGTGGCCCACTAATTCCTAATTCTCTCTCTTTTCTCTAAATTATAGCTTGCTTTGACCCTTTGCTTTTTTTTAACATATTATCTACAACAATAAGGATTATTAATATTGCCTCCATTTCTTAAAAGAAGAATTTGAGTTTCAGAGCGGCTAAGCATTCTGTCCCAAATCACCTAGTGAATGGATGACAGAACCAGAATTTGAATCCAGAGCTGATCAGACCATCCATGGTCAGTGCCCTTTTCATATGTTGTCATTTTCCATGCCAACCTGAAGAAGTCAGTCTTAGATCCTTAGCAGCCAAACAGGCTATCGAATCCAATATGTAGCTATTTATAGAGCTCAGCTATTGAATCCAGTCCATGTTCTGCTTGGCCAGCCACGTGCCCTGGCATGGGGCTATGTGTGCAGAATAAAAGGGGAGAGGGCTTTTCTAATTCTCATACAGGTGCCAAAAGGGTTAACAGAAAAAGCATATCTCTATACTGCTATGAGACAAACATGCCCCCTCCAGAACAAACTTGGAATTACAGTGACAAGTCAGCATGTTTATCACTCTCCAAGTGGATGCTATATGGCTACTTAGTCTGCATTATTACCCTCCCTTTTAGGTTAAAAGAGCAATTATTTATTCTTAGGTAAATGTGTGGTAGTTTAGCTGAGTCATTCATGCATGGACATAGCAATGGAGTCAAGTCAGAGACTACCGTGCTAATTCACTCTGTCTTTTAGGAAAGTCAACTGTCAGAACAAAGAACAAGGACCCCTTATGATAGCTATAACCTCTTTCTTCAATAGTATTTCCCTGGTTGATTACTCTCTGAATTGGCTGCTTTCTTTCACATGAATTTTCTGCCAAGTGTGGATGACCAAGATATTGGTAAATGAAAAACAAAAATGTCCACTGAGTAAGATCAGATCCTGCCTTCTACTTTAACTTATTCCTGTGGAGATCTATTTAGGTTATCACACTTGAGAACATAGATGTCGACATTCTATTAAAAGATAGGTACTATTATTAAACTACCATGTAGACAGTTATATAGGAAGAGTTACAATTTGTTAAGTGGATTAACCCACTGATTGGGATAAAGTGAATAAGAGGCCAGAATAAATTAGATAATTTCTGCAATGGTTAATTATTGTTTGTCAGACTTAAAGATATGATTTGAATGAGTTTAACATATTGTAGCCTCTCCCTTCTTTCCTTATTTCCTTCCTCCCTCCCTCTCTCTGGCACTAAGGGTTATATTAAGTCATGACATATCATATACTTCATTAATATTCCATGGAATATAAGATATTCCATTGAATGAAGATTATCTTTGACTGTATAAGGTAACTATTTTTTAAGCTCAGAATTTAACAAATTATAACCAGTAGGAATTTACTAGATCTAGTTTACCAAAGATAGTGTAACACATTGTAAGGTATTTGTGTAATAAAAGTAAATGCTATTTATTGTTGTCTTTTAGTCAATTAATGAAGGATTCCAGGAGAGAGATATGACAGTTGTTTTTTGGGTTTTGTTTTTGTTTTTTTTTTTTACTATAAATGGAGGTTTCCAAAAGTTTTAAGAATAAAAAGAAATCTTTTCAGCTTTATATCTAGTTTATTATCCTAAGATTATAAAACTAGTTATTATTTTTTTAAAAATGCAAGATTGTACTTATATGCAAGGAGTTTAGATATTAATTTATGTTTTAATTTCAAGAATTAAATTAAATTTCTTAAAGTTCAAAAGATAAGTTAAACTTACCTGTAACATTGCTTGAAATTCCACTAGTGGAGATTCATTTCTTTGGGTTCAGTTTTTGCCTCTAGAGTTCATTAAAAGATTCTGCAAGGAATGACTCTTTAAGTCTGTGTCAGTCACTAAATATAATAATAACATTGTATTTGGAATGTTTACTGGGTCCTAGAAAATGCACGAGGTGCCTTTTAAACATGACCTTTTATCTTCACAGCAGTCCTACTTAGTGCGTATTAAGTTTCCATTTTATAGTTGAGAAATTTCAGGATAATAGAAAGTAAATACTTTCCTAAGGTATAAGAGACAGAGTCCAAAATCAAACCGAAGTATCCCGTATGCCAAAGCCTTAACAGTGTTCTGTGGGGACTCATTTCTTAGGGGGCATTACAAAAATACTCCAAGTAAAGGATCTTGGGAAAAGAGGTGAGTTGGAAGAACTACAAGGACAAAATTTAACAGAACTCCCACTTTCACTGAGTTATAAGTACTGAGGAGATGTCATCTTCTGTCCAGTACTTATCTGAATTACCACTCATTTTCCACTCTTGACATGCACATTTATGAAATTTGATTGTGTCTTAAATTGAACTTGCAGGTGTTATTTGGTGACAAGATGTTCTCTCCTCATACATTTCTTGAACAATTCATTGCCACCAAAGTGTGCAGCCAGAAGCTATTTCATCGTATTTGCAGCAACTTCCTATTTTCTTTTTGTGGATTTGATCCAAAAAACTTAAACATGGTACGTGTAAATAGTTGGATTGGGAAGGCAAATGTTTTGTTAAACAGCAGTTAGGAGATTTCACTATAAATTGCACACAAACTACATTCAAGATCTCCTTTTTTTTGTCTCTGGAAATGTGATTAGCATGTTCGTGGCTTCCCACCAAAGCTGAGTCCACCTGGTTTCGTAGGAGGTTTTGAGAAGAAGGTTTTTTGCTGAAAATTCTCATCAACTCTTGCTAGTGGCCAAAGCACCACACTGAAAAGTCCTTCACTTTGACTATGGCTATGGTTTTGAAATTAATCTTGCTGAGCTTGAGCCCTATCTCAGACCTACTGAAGTAGAATTTTAGGGAGTGAGCTCAGGTATCTCTATTTTTTAAATCATTTGTTTTACTTTCATAAGTGATGTGGAAATGGCCATTTTGTGAGCCACTTCTTTAACTCAAAGGGATGGAGGGGTGGCTCTTCAATGATAGCTATACATTCACTGTTTAAGGGATATTGAGACAAATAAATGTTAGAGTTCTTGTCCAGTCCTTTCCAGCTTAACTGAGATCCTTTCCTTTTTTTAGTTACCTCTAGCTGACCCAAAGAGTGGGAATGAAAAAGAGGGGAAGTTACTGTTTACTCCCCAGCCAGGGAGGAGATATGTTTGTAACCAGAGACAAAGCTGAAGTTGATTTCCACCTATGTCACAGATTCTGCCCAGAGACTTGTATCTCTCTGTCAGTGAAAGCACTGATTAACACTTTCCTTGCTTTCAAGCAAGATTTATAAAAAATTGTTTATGCAAAACCATGCTTTAGCCACTGCCTTTTCACATCTTAGGGAATCCATGCTTTCCTATCACTTAGATGGAAGCATTTCATGTAGGTAAAGGTAAGTAAAAAGACCTTTAAGCAAACTCAATAGAGATAATTTCAAAAGCTCCTTCTCAACATGGTCTGAGAGTTTGCTAAAGAAAGACTTCACAAAATAACACAGTTGAACATAAATTGGGGAGGCCCTGTTGTATATTTATATAATAAGAATGCCTTTTTTCTCACTGTTGGGTACTGGACTATGGAATATTACAATGCCTGCAAGAATGTTTATTTTAGTACAGTATAACCAGGAATACCTAAGCAGAGTGTTTGTAGAACTTTGAAAAAATACACATGTCCAGAACTCAGTCTTAGAGATTTTAATATTGATTCTAGGTTTGGGTAACTCATAAGTAGTTGTATTTTTTTAAGCTCCAAGATGTTCCTGATGTCAACTTTGGTGGAAAATAACTCTTTTATATACTAAAAAAAATGCAATTGAAATTATGAAAAAAAATCAAGGGTTTTTAAAATTCAGAATAAATTTAAAAGTTAATGGAGGTTAAAATATTGGATGGATTATGCCCCACAAACTTTCAAAGAGCCTTGCAGAATATTACCACATTTTAAAAATCAGATGACAAAGGGAACATTCAGATTTGTTCTCAATGTCTTACAACGAACAACTTTCTCGGAATGTCTTTTGGGACATGACATCGGGTGAAGAAGAAGGTCAATGACTTCTTGTCCTCTTAGACCTGTCCCAGGCAAGACTGGAAAGAAAATCTGTATTATCCTCTGTCTTTGACTAGTGGGAGGCTCTCTGTGGGCTCTATGAGACACTGCTCAGGACAGAAGAACAGAGCTAAGGGAAGGGAAAGTTCTTAAAGGTGGGCTTCTTTGGATAATGAGTCTTCAGAGGTTATGCTATATGTTTATTCCTAAAAGAAAAACAGAGAAAAGATGTTCACATTTACTTGTGATGTGATTATATGATGAGCCTTCAAATGAGACATAATCTCTTTACTTTACAGAGTCGCTTGGATGTTTATATGGCACAGAGTCCGGCAGGAACATCTGTTCAGAACATGCTACACTGGGCCCAGGTACGTGCTTCCTGTTTCTGATGTGAGACACGCACATCTCTGCAAGATCCCCAAGGAGAGCTCCCAGAGAACTCCCTGCAGGGTTTTGCAGGCACCTGCCACTGTCCAGTTGGTGGTCTAGAATCAGCGTAAACTCATGCGGATTTCCTTAACACCCTTCTAGTCTTCACATCTTCCGGGTCTGGAGTTTGGGCTTGGTTCCTAGACATATTCACTGACTTCTGATCCTTAGATTACTCCAAACTGCTTTTTCTAGGAAAACTTGTATTTTCTCCTCTTGGAAATCACTAGCTTTATTAGAACTTTATGTGTCATGATATAGACTATTTCACCCTCTAGTTGGCATATAGGCCATTTCAGAGTGTGAAAATAATTCAGAGAAATAATTCAGAGAAAATTAAATATTAGGGAGGGATTAAAATAGATTAGTGTTGTCTATTTTTACCCTCAGCTTTGTATGCGCATGTATTACTCTATTAGTCAATATTTGACAAGCTCAAAGGTAAGTCAAATTCGATTAGTATAGTTGTCTGACCCAAGTGTGTGTGTGTGTGTGTGTGTGTGTGTGTGTGTGTGTGAGAGAGAGAGAGAGAGAAAGAGAGAGAGAGAACTTCCCAAAGTTTTAATATAGCTGAGATCTCTAGGAATTTAACCTACACCCTGTTCTTTGCTTTAAAATTTAGAATCACTGCTATAGATAGCCTGACACACTAGTTGAGAGTTTTGGAAATTCTTTGAAGAGTTCTACCTTCAGGAGATAAGCCTTCACACTCAAATATGGAAAATGAAGTTTGAGTCATAGGGCCTCCTACTGGTGAGGAGACGGAGCCTCTCTGATGGGCATGACCTTCCAGGCAATACAACTTCAATTTCATATTTATTGAGCACTTACTATGTGTTCTTCTGCTATTTATGTACATGGTTTCATTCAGTAACATCAAATTCATTCTCATAACAGTCTTTCAATAAAGACATTGATATCTCCATTCTACAAATGGAGGCTCCTCCAGTTGCAGGCTCCTCCCTGGCCTGGGCCCCTGGTCGGGGCTCATGCAAGAGGCAACCAATTGATGTGTTTCTCTCACATTGATATTTCTCTCTGTCTTTCCCTCTCTCCTCCACTCTCTAAATAGCCAATCCCTTACACATGCACAGCTGACTCTTCTTAAAAAGTACCCTTCTCTGGCAGGAAGAACTCTTCAGGATAGAAATAAAGGTGGGGGATAAAATATTTGGTCATAAGTTACATAGACAAAGATGCAGATGATGGTAATAATATTAGTGAAAAGAGATTTGTTGAACATTCCTAGGTGCTACATGTTTTTATGCATTGCCTTATTTAATCTTCACAACCTACAAGAAGAATATTATTGTCATTCCTATTTCACAGGTGAAAAAATAGGTTTAGAGAAGATAAATATCTTGTCCTGGGCCACCGGTTCAATATTCTGTTAAGCCTGGATTCAAACCAGGTCGGTTTGATGCCAGAATCCAAGTTCCTAGCTAGTACAGTCTATTGCTTCCCATTGTTGAAAATTTGCAGAATTTCAATAACAAAAGGTTGCTGCCTCTGTCAATATAAATCTGATGGGAATCATTTAAAACTAAAAATCAAGTTTAAATCAATGAGTGTGAAAAAAACCTTTAGAGCCTTAGCCTGTTTGGCTCAGCAGATAGAGCATAGGCCTGTGAAACAGAGGATCCTGGGTTCGATTCCGGTCAAGGGCATGTACCTCAGTTGCAGAGTCCTCCCTGGCCCAGGTCAGGGCTCATGCAGGAGGCAACCAATCGATGTGTTCCTCTCACATCAATATTTCTGTCTTTCCTTCTCTCTTCCACTCTCTAAATATCAATAGAAAAATATCCTCGGGTTAGGATAAATAACTAAATAAATAAATGAGTTAAAAAAACAAAACAAAAAACCTTTAGAGTAGTCAGAATAATTTAATGAAGTGCTTGATGTAAAGATAAAAATTATCTGTCTCTTCTAATCAGCATGGGTGGCAAATAACAGAAAAAGGAACCCCTAGGTGTATGAATGTTTCTATTCCAACATCTGATTTAAAATTAAAATGCAAACATAGGCATGCATGGCACCTCAGACATGCAGCCTGTGGCCACATTACTGATAAGGCGGCAGGATGTTTGGCCTTGCCGACAAAAGGACACAGCCATGCCACACCTCCCACAGGAAGCACTGAGAAGTTCTGTGAATAAACATTCCTTTCAATAGTAACAAAATTGTTTAAGAATAATGAGTAACATTGTAATATCCTGGACCACCTGATAAGGATGGAAAGGTTTAAAGTTGTTTAAGAATACTGGCAGTCATTGTTTAATGTAGGAGTTACGTAGGTGGTGCCTTTAAAAATTATGTATAAAAATTCCTTAAGCCAAGATATTTAAGAATCATTCAGTTCAGCATCTTTTAAAAAATGTCTGTGTATAGCATTGTAACACTTAAAGGCATTGCAGTCTGAGGATTTTCATTGGAAAATTATAGGGAGGAATATAAGCTTGATAATCAGTTTCATTAATTAGTATAAAATTTGTATCATTGTTATTATTTGGCTTATTAGTCTTTATGAAATTTTCTCATGTGCTAAAAAGTGGAACATAATGTCAATCTTCTCTGTATATTTCTTGTTTACTGTCTCTAAATGTATGCTTTTATATCATTTTAATGTGTTTATTCTTTTTATTTTGTTATAGGTGTTTCATTCTGGTCTGTTCCAAGCTTTTGATTGGGGAAACCCTTATCAGAACATGTTACACTTCCAACAGGTATGATACTAACAATCATCAGTTGCATATTGCAAATGAACTAATAGATATAGGGTGGGGCAAAAGTAGGTTTACAGTTGTGAGTATGCAAAACAGTTTATTCTTGTATTATCATTATTCATCATGTTATTTTTCATATGAACAACTATAAACCTACTTTTGTCTCTACTCATTAAGCACTTAGTAGATCCTAAACTATGCCAGCTATTTCGTGTAGATCAGATGTTACTTATTGGTTTCTTACCATGTGCTGTATCATTATTTTTGATCTTCATAATGACCTTGCAAGGCTCAGAGGGATTAGGTAAATTTTTGAAATTATTTAGCTAGTAAAGAACCAAAATATGATCCAGGGGTTTCTGGATCTAAAGTCCATTCTTCTTCCACTATCTTCTCAAAAAAAAAAGAGAGAGGAAGGAAGGAAGGAAGGAAGGAAGGAAGGAAGGAAGGAAGGAAGGGAGGGAGGGAGAGAGAGAGGGAGAGAGAGAGAGAGAGAGAGAGAGAGAGAGAGAGAGAGAGAGAGAGAGAGAGAAAGGAAGGAAGGAAGGAAGGAAGAAAGGAAGGAAGGAAGGAAGAAAGGAAGGAAGGAAGGAAGGAAGGAAGGAAGGAAGGAAGGAAGGAAGGAAGGAAGGAGAAAGAACTCTTAGCGCTTGAGACCATATTTTAAAGAGAGAAATAAAGATACATAATTTTTGTTTCTAGAACATATTCTCTGACTTCTTATCCAACTCTCATAAAATAAGCTAACACTGTCTTATTAACACTGTCTTGGAAAGTCATTTGCTATTCATTTTTTAATAAACAATAAAGGATAATTAAAGATACACCAAACAGAAATATTCCCCTCAGAAAGAAGCAGTGCTATCAGCCAGAGAATGGTATGTCAAGATATTTCCTGACATTATCTGTGAAAACCGGGTAGGGTACATGCTTAGGTTGAGGACTTGATCCCCAGTAGGAGGTGTTCAAGAGGCAGCAGATCAATGTTACTCTCTCTCCCCTCTCCCTTCCTCTCTGTCTCTCTCTCTCTAAAACATAATAATAAAAAATTTTAAAAAGATACAAGGGCTTTACAAATCAGGGCTGAGGAAATTTGGAAACTTTTTGAATAGCAAATTTAAAGTGCCACCCATATTAACCACAACAGTAAAAATGCGTAACTTAATTGGTGTGAAAAATTCGATTTTCCTCTAAACTGCTATGGTCATATGTGTGTAAGTGGGTGTGCCCAAACACACAAACATGCTATGGCGATATATCATTTACTCTTGTAATTAACCAATTCCCTGCTTTAGCAAGAGTATATAGCTGCCCCAGAAAAAGCTGTTAGATGATGGCCTCACCATGTGAGACTCAGATACCTGTTTGGATAAGATCTGACTCACAGGTATTAGCTTTATCATTAAGCTTACAGATTCTATTTTTTAAAATGGTGATTCAGGTTTTGCTATGAAAAGTTTGTGTAGGACTTTGGGAGAAAATAAGAAAAACCCAAACAAACTGAGGGTAAACTGCTGCCAAAATTAACTATTGTATATTCATCTGCTCAGGCTGAGATTTAAAAAAATACCGTAACTGAGTGGCTTAAACAACAGAAATGTATTTGTCACAGTTCTGAAAGTCGGAAGTCTGAGAACAGGGCAGCGGCCTTGTCGGGTTCTGGGGAGGGCTTCCTTTGGCTTGCCGAGCGCCTCCTCCTTGCTATGTGCTCACATGGTCTTTCCGCGGTGTGTGCTCTTGGAGAGAGAAAGAGACCTCTGTCTCCCCTCCTTATAAGGCCATCAATCCTATTGGATTTAACCTAATCACCTCCTAAAAGCCTTATCTCCAAACACAATCATATTTGGGGTAGGGTTTTAACATGTGAATTTAGAGGGAAAACAAGTTAGTCCGTAGCAAATGGTAAAAGGTAAGACTTCCAGTTGCAAGTAGCAGAAACAAACTCTATTATACTGCTTTACTGAGCTAAAATGTACAATGGTAAACTCACAATAGCCAGGAACTTAAACACTGGCATTGGGGTTCGCTCTCTCTTGCTTTTTCTCTCTCAATTCTGCCTTCATATGCTGTTTCCATTTTTAAGTTCTTTCCAAGATAGCAGTAGTAGTAGGATGGTGACTGATGTATCTAGCTCACACAGTTCTTCCAACTGCAAACCCAAAGGAAAAGGCAATGTTTTTCTTTTTTTAAAAAATATATTTTATTGATTTTTTACAGAGAGGAAGGGAGAGGGATAGAGAGTTAGAAACATCGATGAGAGAGAAACATCGATCAGCCGCCTCCTGCACACTCCCAACTGGGGATGTGCCCGCAACCAAGGTACATGCCCTTGACCGGAATCGAACCTGGGATCCTTGAGTCCGCAGGCCGACGCTCTATCCACTGAGTCAAACCAGTTAGGGCGGCAATGTTTTTCTTAATAGCTCTAGCAAAAAGTTCCAGAGAGAACTCGGGCCCTGTTTTAGTCATCTCATATAATCGCTGTGGCCAGAAGAATGAAGAACAAATTGGCCAGGCCTGGTCCCCTGGACTACCCTGGAATTGGGGGAGTGGAATTTGTAAAATCAGCATGAGTGCTGTTACCAGAAAGAAGGGGGCAGGAAAAACTTGCCAGGCCCGATTTTTCTGTAACAGGCTGGCTTTTTAACATTGTATTTCAAATGTGTGTTTTTATGTACGGGTCTCAACGTTCCCTGAAGAGGCTGCTCAAATGTCAATAATTCCCTGGGCCCAGACTTCTGCATATGTGGAGGGGTACTGATATCTGTCCTATTTTATCCCATCCAAAATTTTGTTTGAAAAGGACACATTCCCAGTCCAAGTGCTACTAGAAAGATGGCCCCACCAAAGAAATGTGTCCCTTTTCTCTAGGATCCTTTTCTATTTCCCCAAAAATCAAATCAAAAATATAATGGTGGTCTTTTAAAATTTACAATTCATATTTTGGTACTAAAGTGTTTTCAAGTAAATTTCACAGTTTAATGTTTATATATCACTAAGTGTATCCTAACTGCACATTTTTAACATTTAAAGTAGATGCTTAAAAACTGATTTTGTTACTTCTCTAATGTGATTTTTCGTGAACACTCTTCTTTTTTCTCTCCCTCTCTTTACCTGTATTTAGTTTACACCTCCCTTATACAACGTTACTAAGATGGAAGTGCCAACAGCAATGTGGAGTGGTGGACATGACATTGTGGCTGATCCCAGGGACATTGAAAGTTTACTCCCGAACATCACCAGACTTATTTATTACAAATGTATTCCACACTACAATCATGTGGATTTTTACCTTGGACAGGATGTGACCCAGGAAATTTACCAAGACCTAATTAGAATGATGGAGGACTATTTCTAAAATTAAACACACTTACCTTTTTCTAAGCAGCAAGTTTTCATGATAATAATGTGGCACACAGACCCAAAGGCGACCCCTCCAATGATTTTTACCTCCTCATGTCCGTGCATTTGTGTAGCTCACCTTCCTTGAGTTCGGGAGGCACCTGAGACTTGCTCCTAGAATTAGCAGAGGTGATGGGATGGCACAC